TTTTTCTGCGGCTACTGAGTCACAGTACTGTTTCAGCCGTTCAAAAACTCGCTCGGTTCCGCGGGTCCCGTGTAAACGAAAGGTGGATCTTTCCGACGAGCAAGTTTTTGTTCGTTCAAAAATTTGTCTAGACCTGTGTAAACGAGGCCGGGAAACGAGGTCTTAGAGTAACAGATTAAACCGAGATTACCAGACTTACCCGATGAATCCTTGATCCAAAATCTGGTAGAAGAACATATACTGACCTAGTTTCCTATAATGGACGATCACTTCTCCGCTTGTTTTCGCTATTTTTATGGAGTTCTTTTCAACCTCAAAGCAAACACCAAGGGTCTGATTAAAGATGTAGCAGCCTTTGACGTGGCCTTCGGAGAAACCATCCAAGCGAAATCCAGTTGGTTTAGAACAGGAGATTGTCATCATTGAACACAAAACGGCGACAGTGGCGACGGAAAACAGAGAAAATGCTCCAGTTGACATGGTCATAGATCAGTTTCTTGCGAAGCCTGTTCTGATTGCTTGAATGTGTTTGAGCCGTACAGTATAGTAGCATCCTGTATCGCCGATCACATTTATTTATTATACGTGCTTTGACTTCCTTACGCCAGCACGTGCTTCTTAACTACGCCCAAAATCACCATGATTGAGCGCTTAAACGGAACACTTATATGATTTTTGCTGTTACTCTAGCGGATGCTTCTGATGTTACAGGTTTCGTCTTTAATTTTCGTTATCGCTGGTTATCGTGCATTTTTAGAAAGCAATTCGTGCCTGATGATTATTGTTGGATTCAATTTATTCAGAAACAGTTTCTCAATGATTTCAATGGTTTTTAAGTATTTCATAAAGTTCTATAGGAACATTATTGCTTATGGAGTTTCCCATAGCATACGAACGCAGAAGCATTTCCGGTCGTCGCAAGTTTTCGGGTGGAGTGAAGCGACAACCGAGCTTCTTCTATCATGTTCCTGCTTCCGCGAGCAAGCGGGATGAAGCGAATCCTGTGTTTTGATTGGCTATGCGAGCAGTATTGAACTTATGCAAGGTATAGAGATCTATAAAGCCACCAAGACTGAAAATCTACCTGAAGCATCAGAGTCTAGGTCGTCGTAAAAGGGTTTCCGACAAATAATCACTCTCGATATGATTGTCTACAGATCTGATCTAGATTTACGGTCACAGATTCCCCCTTTATTAGTTTGAACGTTGTTGGAAACTCTTGATTCTGAACAGACTAAAATTCCATTGAAAGAACCGTTTTCACGTAAAAAGTGTCAACCATAAAAGATAAGTGCTATGAGATTTGTGGGTATAAGTTTACGGCATATGATTTGTAATTTACAAAGTTTTCTCAATCAAATACTCTATTTACTCGATTAACCTCGCCCTCGAATGAACCTCACACCCAATCAGTAGAATGCAGCGTTTATTTGAGGATTATAAAGTAGGTATGCACGTTCGTTCAACTTGCAACTGGTAATTTATCCTAGGCTTGATTACCAGCCGCTGTTCTGGAAATGAGCCAGCGCTCCTCCCCTGAACAGATTCTTCTCACGAGGTTGTAATAACGTTAGTGAAGGATTTGTATGGTCAAGGCAGTCGTATGGCGAGGTTACATAGGAGTAGCGGTGACGTCTTTTACTAGATTAACGCGCAAAGAGAGACGTTACTTAATGTTATTATCAATGTGATTTCATAATTTATTAATAGTTATGATCTCGAAGAGCGTTCTTAAAGGAAAAAAAAACCAGCTGTACTAAAACTATTAGTGCATGTGTATGTCATCCAAGAAAAGACTCAGTAAAATTTCCCAAATATGAACGAGTAACAGAATGAAGTTAAAATAGTCAACAAACCAACTTTTATTTCTCTCCTGAAAATCAAAATGGACGTTTTTCTTATATACGGTAAAACTTATTTCAGTTCCTTTAGCTTAAACTCGTGTAGTTTTTACGGTTTATGCTAAAACACTTTATGATTTAGCTTGGCATGCCCTTGAATCAATTATTAACCCCACCATGATTAGCGTTTTTTACACTCTGGATATCCCCCGAATTTGGAGCATGTGAAACCGTATAGGAAGGGGGTGGCACAATATGATGTCCAACGACCATAGTTGCAACATATGTCGTGCTCGTAACAGCCCCTATGCCAACAGCAGTCGCCACAAAACAAGCTCCAACACCAACATCCTAGACCACACATTCCGCGACATGTATTCGCTTTTGGTCGTGAGCAGCGCTTTTCTCGGTAATGCTGATCAGTAGTCTCATCGCCCATGTCATGCGCAGCTCTGAACTCATCCTTGACCTTTACGCCTGTAGCCTTAAAAAGGTTAAAGCACATGGCGTAGAATGGTTTGAGCAGCTCCAGACGGGTGGAGTTGTCTGCTAATGCTGCTGACACTAGCTCCAGCAGCTGAATTTCTGGGACGTAGTGCAACTCGCTCATGGCTGCTTGGTAGTGATTTTTAAAGGTTTCACGTTCTAAAGTTTCATCATCCGATATGTCTCTCAAAAAGGATCTCAGCGCGTCAGGCGTTTTTGGAACGTCATCTGGGACATAGAAGATTACTGAGCCACGCCTGCGGCGAGAAATACACATAGATACAAATCAAATTAAAATAAAAGGCATAAAATGTTTGATATGTCTCGCACGTGGGACAAGACTGAAAAACCAAACCTTAATCGCTGACTGGATTTGAAGCTACGGCTTCCTAGATACCGGACGAGCGCTTTGATCGCTGAATACGAAGACTCACCCTAAGAAAACTCATGGCTAATATACCAGGCAAGCATTTTTATCATCTTAATAACTTTAATTAAGGCGGAGTATTCTACATAGAACAAAAACTAAGGCTATGTTCACACTTTACCGCGGATAGCTCTTCATGACGACACGAAAAGCTATCCGGCGGTAAGGTATGAACATCACCTATCCGGGAATAAATTTAAAGGGACTGTGTCACGGCAGTCCAGTTCATTTTGTTTAATTTTGCGAATTACTCGCCCTGAATGGCTATGGAACTTAAAGTAAGCGAAGAAATCACATGTAAATGACAAAATCAGAGATCCGAGACAAATATGTCTCCTGAGCATTATGTTTGAAGTTGCAAGCAGCAGGGATCAACTTTGAAAAACTGTTAGGCTGAACAGTTTTCAAAAATCCTATTTTTCAATCGATGTCAATTAAAATCTTCTTCAGTTTTGCCCATCCGTGGCATCTTTTGTTTCTGTTATGTTATTTTAACCTTCCTTTAAAGTTTTGAGCGGTTATTTTTATGTTTCTCTCAATCTAATGGGCATTTTGTAATTTCCTAATTTGGCTGAATTTTGTGACACAGCTCCTTTAAAAGGGCCTACAACCTAAGAATTATTAATATTAGTATGCGGTTTCAGACTGCGCGGATTCGTCTGAACGGGGCCTTAATGAGCTATCCAGCAGATTGGGTAGCATGCACAAGTATCATAAGGCTAAGTTCGCACGGCAACGAATTAATTTTCGACCAGCTAAAAAATTTCACCGGACACTTCGTTCACACGGGACGCTTCAATATTTTCGCTCTGTTCACCCGGAACTTTGAACGCCTAGGCGTCTAAATATTTGTACGTTTAAGGTAGTTCCGTGTGAACTGAACTCCCAAACGTACGAACTTTCAACCAGTCGAAAACTCGTCCGGTGCCGTTTGAAAATAGCCTAGTAAATCAGTGTTTTTCTCACTATGAAGTCACTTGAGGTGTACACAACGTGATGTAGCTCGCACGTCATTTTCTTGTTTATTGAGCCAAATTTCAAATGCACAAAAAACAGAAAATTATGCAATGTAAGTTTAGTTAGCCGATACTGATACAATATCTTAAAGGGTACAACGTGAATGCTAGTTGAGCCTACCCGACAAAAGCGTGATCCAGCACTTGGTAAAGAAACATATCTGGACCGAGTTCCTGGTAATGTACAATTCCTTCTCCCGAGGCCTTCTTTATGAGCATGGAATCTTTCTTCACATCAAAGCAAACTGCCAACTCTTGACTGTGTTCGTAACAGCCTTCAACTCCGCCCTCGGAATAACCCTTCAAGTGAAGGCCTTTATCTGCGGCAGTGGAGCACAAGAGGCTTGCAAATATAACAGTCAGAACCGTTGGGTAAGTCATCTTGACACTGCTGAAGAGTGCTCTCTGGGTCCACCTTTGCTCACTTCAGAACATGCGAATGTAAAGTGCTCCACAACGACGTTAGGGCTTTTTTTATTTGCTTAATCAATAATCGTCTGGTTTCCTCATTCCTATGCGGCCTTTTGTGGTGGGCGTAATATTTTACTGACATGACGATGCGTTCCAGTTTAAGCCGTTTGCAGTTGCCATCGAAACATTTCAATTTCAAGAGAATCAAGGAAGACATATTCATCAACTCCCTCTATTATTGTGTTTTTGTTTCTCTTACAATTCTACTTCTTGTTGGAATCGACAGAAATGAATATCGGCAGGGTATGACGAGGCAAATTTTAAAAACCTTGACTTTACGTTTGATTAAGACCATGACCTAATTAAGTTTTACAGGCACTTGCTTGTTTGTTGAATTTTCAACTGTCACAGTGTCTATCTTTAATTTAAAAAGTTTCTTTGTACACGAAAGAGAAGATATATTTGCTTTCAGAGAGGGTTTTTATCTTAACAAACCATCAAAAAGTACACGACTTCCCGTTATCAAATGGTCACGTTTTGGTTTGTCAAACATAACCGCTTACTCACCGGAACGCCCGACGCGCTTATATTAGTGCGCACATAATATCCGGCCTCGGAAAGAGGCTTCCTGAACTACCGGCGCTGCATGAAACTACCATTCTAAACAGACCTGTTAAGGCTCAAACGAAAACAAAATGAAAACACTTGTTACTACTTGTGTCAATTGTGTAATAGGCTACAAAGTGGTGGTACTAAAAACCCATTTTAGTGTCTTTAAGGTGTTTCGATACAGTTTTTCAGAGGCCATGCCGATAATTTTCAATCGCCTTAAAAGTGGTTTTATCCTTGTCAGATCGCTATAAAATTTTCACCGGTAATTGGCTATTGATTGAAATTTGTGAAAATGTAGTTTTAAGTAAAATCGATATTACTATGACAACAATAAACAAAAAATTTTGAAATTGATAAAAGCCGAATTTTGTGTGATCTAGACCTGCTACTGAAAATCCAACACTAAGAGCTTAAAGTTTGGTATTTAGCGAACAATCTCCGTAAGAGGTAAAAAATTCTGTATGTTTGAATTCGACTAAAACGAAAATATATTTCAAACCTTAAATTTTCAATAGCCGTGATAGATTATTTAATAAAAACGTTATAAATGACTCAAATTATTCTTAAGTAGCGTCAGAATGCTGCTTTATATCATATTTTGATGCTAGGAAATTTTGGTGTACTTTCGTCCTTGCGATCTTGAAAACTAACCTGTTTTCTCACCACCTTAATAAGTGCAACTTCATTCAGAATTTGGACTTTTAGCGCTTTCTTGTACATCTCCGAAACGACTCGAACGAATTTTTTCAAAATCTTTTCACATCATCTTCATAATGTATATAAAAATGTCTGAAACTTTCATTAAGATTGATTCACTGCAACGCTTTAAAGTTCCAAGGCAAACCTATCCTACAAAACGGTCAAAAATCTGCGTTACAACATTCACTGTTTTGACGTTATGCTAATATTTCCAAATTAATGCGGACAATACATATGTCCATGACTAGTACATTTCAGTGTGAGTATTGTCAATGTTTTACATTCAAAAGATGCGATAAATTCAAACTAAAATGTACTAGTCATGGAGGTATGTATAGTGCGCATTATTTTGGAAAAATTAGCATAACGTCAAAACAGTGAATGTTGTAACGCAGATTTTTGACCGGTTCGTAGGATAGGTTTGTCGAAAAATTTTAAGGCGTTGCAGTGAATCAATCTTAATGAAAGTTTCAGACATTTTTATATACATTATGAAGATTATGTGAAGAGATTTTAAAAAAATTCGTTCGAGTCGTTTCGGAGATATACAAGAAAGCGCTAAAAGTCCAAATTTTGAATGAAGTTGCACTTATACAGGTGCTGAGAAAACAGGTTAGTTTTCAAGATCGCAAGGACGAAAGTACACCAAAATTTCCTGGCATCAAAATATGATATAAAGCAGCATTTTGACGCTACTTAAAAATAATTTAAGTCATTTCTAACGTTTTTATTAAATAATCCATCCGCCTATTGAAAATTTAAGGTTTGAAATGTATTTTCGTTTTAGTCGAATTCAAACATACAGAATTTTTTACTTCTTACGGAGATTGTTTGCTAAACACCAAACTTTAAGTTCCTAGTGTTGGATTTTCAGTAGCAGGTCTAGATCACACAAAATTCAGCTTTTATCAATTTCAAACTTTTTTGTTTATTGTTGTCATAGTAATATTGATTTTACTGAAAACCACATTTTCACACATTTCAATCCATAGCCAATTACTGGTGAAAATTTTATAGCGATCGGACAAGGAAAAAACCTCTTTTAAGGCGATTGAAAAATATCGGTATGGCCTCTGAAAAACTGTATCGAAACACCTTAAAAGGGCTGGCTATCAAGACCAGCGGCCTTGTTTTCAGTGTGCCTGAACACTAAACACTTCTTTTAATCATGACCAAATTTCATGAAAGCATATAAGCATATCGGTACAATTAAAGCCGCGGTCTAAGTTAGTTTTTGCTTAGATAACCGACTTTTAGTGTCTCTGCCATACCTCTACAACAAAAATCATAGCCGCCTTCAATTTTATTATAAAGTTGTTTAAACTACGGGAACATCATTATGATAAAATTCCCCCGAAAAGTTATCAAACTTGAGTGGTGCAAAAGATATACTCATATGGGAACTGAAGAACATTTGGGAGGGTCTCAATGCGGTTAACCGTTAGCCCTAAAACGACCAAAAGCAATTAGTCACACGGTTGTAAGGAGTAAAAAATAAACTTTCGACTGAGTTGACAGTAAAAAGTTTGCTAACTACAATTTCTCGTCTGTGTGTAGAGATCATTCGGAACAGGTCTTTATATGTAAAGAGTCCTATGAATTTTACAACAATTTTCGCAACAAAGAAAGATTAACTGTTAGCCCGGCGTAAAAATCGATCAACATATATGCCCCTTTCTATTTAAGCCACTTATAACTGCTTTATAGCTGACGGTGACGGTTGCCCTTTATGGAAGTGATTGTGCGCCTTATGGTGATATTATTGCCTCACCTATACATATCTGAAGTTCTATATCAGGGGAAATTTTAATTTCTTGTTCATACTCAGTAACAATCCGCCCAGATAGTTTAAATGTCAGTGGGAAACATTTCAAAATGTTTGCGACAATGAAAATATACTTTGACCATTTTCACCAGGATTTTTTTTTATTGATATTAAACGGTTTGACTGTTTAGATCAATTATGCTTGCTACAAAGTAATTCATATTGGCAATGATCGATTTCCTCTCACTCGATTTATGGAAATTACAACAAGAGCAACCAACCATTCTCACTCATCATTATTTAAACTGGCAGCAATGGGAAGAGGCAAACCGACCGACCGATGGGGTGGGGGCCTTGCTTTGTCCTCACTTAAAGCAGACTTATAGACTTATCTCGACCAAATTACACCTCACCTATTTTCAAGTGTGGCTTCGAAAAGCTGATGTCTTTTTGACGACTTACTGGCTGTAGCTTTTTTTTTCTTTTGAAGATTAAACTTGTCACCGTTTACCCGTCTCCTGAACTAAACGGCTCTTCCCTCACTCGCCGTCTCCGCTGGATGGCAAGAAATACTACAAAAATGACGCTTTTTAAAAGAATAAACGTGATTGAAACAGATGAAGGTTAAGTCAAGAGCAATTTGTATGGATCCATGGATCGAAGTGGTACATGTTGGATTAGAATGTACTGACCTATCACTGGTTTACAGAGAGAAAGATTGATTTATTACACGGTTTAGTTAAAGACGCTATATTTTACGGCCAAAAAACCGACCCCGTGCTGAATCATAATTATTGACCACAACGGAACAAACAATTATCTATTAGCGTCAGAGCGGATAAAACGGAACACAGTACTTAACTATTAGCCACGTTAGATCCGGGGTAACAAAGATCACGACTTCCTGTTGGAATGATGACTTGTATGATACATTTCACCACTGATTTCCTTTCACGAAAAGGAAAAAAATTAGTATATTACTCCAATTTATGACAAACGATACAAAGTGCCTAGTCACAAAACTTAGAAAATGAAAACCAAGCGGTTATGAATAAAATTGACTGAACAACAACTAAAGGTAATTATTTTCGCCTGCCATGACGTTTTCCCTTCAATACATTGAAACTTGTCTCTTCCTGCTCTGATTGCGCGGCAACAAGATGATGTCATGGAAATTCAAAACACCTGCGCGCGGGAACATTGCAAGTACAAACAGGCGATTTTCACAAAATGTTTTTAATTTTTTTATGAGGGGCTTGTTCAGTCTTTTCCTCGTTGTTGTTATAATCACTTTATAATACCAGAGGCAAGGATTTACTCAAAAAGTATACGTAAATACAGTTGAACCTCAATGTGCTACCACTTCTCTCCGATAAGCGACCACCTATTCAAAACACCAGAATTTTCCTTTGGAGCCTTTTGTAAAGGACCACCTCTCGTCAGCAAACGACCACGAGAAAGTTTTTGGATATGAAACGGTTTAAGGTATTCCATTGTTTTCATCCTCTGGTAAGCAACCACTTAAGGCATATTTTGATCTCCATGATTGTTGTATGTACTTTACTTTTAAGAGGATACGATGTTTTTTAGTGACAACATGAACCTACGGATATCGTAGCTTAGAAACTGGGTGTAATAAATTATATCTCAAACCGTAGATGTGTTTGGGCGTCTTCTAGGAAGGAACCCCTGTGG